TGCTCTTCAAGGGCAACCCCATGTAGAGCCCATTGCAGTATTCCAGCCTAGAGATCACAAGGGCTCGAGTGACTCATTTCTACAAACTCATTTCATGCAATGGCTTATTGAACAGTTTTGTCAAATTAGGATCATAATCACATTTAAAAACTGCATTGGGGATCCAATACCTCCACCAAAACTGATAGGGAAAACTACTATATGTACAGAGAACAAACCCTGCTCCCCTGTAGCACTGAAGATGTTACCTCAACAGATATTGAAATTTCTTCAGGACAACAACTAGCGAGCACCAAGAACTCCACAAGTGATGCTACTTTATTCAGGCATTCTCTTATACAACAAAGATTGATTTATTTGTATCTTGCCTTTATTATTTTTAAAAGTAACTCAAGGCTCCCAAACGTATTGAACATTTATCCTCCTATTTTCCCCACAACAACCACCCTGTGAAGTGGGTAGGGCTGAGAGTGACTGGCCCAAAGTCACCCAGCTGGCTTTTTAATGGCTAAGGTGGAACTTGAACTCTTGGCCTCCTGCTTTATAATCTGGTACCTTAACCACCCAATCAAAGATATTTCCTTCAACGTGTTATGAAAAGTTTGGCATTGTGAATTAATTTTGCTGACTGCATGGTAACAGAGGACGTAGGTTAGCAGTACAATCAACATTAAGGACCTGCTGAAATTGAAGGCCAGGGAAAGGTAAAATAAAAGACCCCTTTTGAACTGGACTTTCAGTAGACTTTTGAAAACAATGGAAAGTTAAACCACTGTTGAATTTTGATACCAAACCAGGCCACCTACAAGTTGAAGTGGAAGGACTCATATTACACCCACGCGCGCACCCTGTTTCTCCAAAACTACAATCTACCCTGAAAGTAAGACCTAGCTTGATTCCTACCTACGCGCCCAATATAAGCCCTATACCCCCAATAAGCCCTAATTAAGACTCCGCCCACACCAGAGTGCACGGGTAAAAATGAAGCTAGGGTGAGGATGGGTGGGTGGAGCTGCCCTGTTACTTATCTTCAGACAGTTGCGGCTAGGCTTTGCATACCTCAACACCTGCCTTGCTGGCCCATTTCTTCTGCAGCCAATAAGGCTTTCCTGAAGGCCTCTGCAGCCAATAACAGAGCTCCGGATCGATCCAGAGCTCTATTATCAGCCGCAGAGGCCTTCAGGAAAGCCTTGGTGGCTGCAAAAGAAGATCCTGAACACATCTGACAGTGAAAAAGAGGCTGGAGGCGATATGCGCAAATGAGGTGAGTTAGTGGACCACATTCCCCCCCGAAAATAAGACCTGGTGCTTTTTTTTTGGTTGGCAAAAAATATAAGGCAGGGTCTTATTTTGGGGTAAACTCTGTGTGTGTGTGTGTGTGTGTGTGTGTGTGTGTGTGTGTGTGTGTGTGTGTGTGTGTGTGT